GAGGAGGAGGAGGAGGAGGAGAGAAGAAGAAGAAGACGAGAAGAGGAGGAGGAGGAGGAGGAGGCGGAGGAGAGAAGAGAAGAAGACGAGATGAGGAGGAAGAGGAGGAGAGGAGAAGAAGAAGACGAGAGGAGGAGGAGGAGGAGGAGGAGCTGTAGGTTGTGTGACGATGACGAGGGGAAAAAAAAAGAAAAGGCCGATGGAGGAGGAGGAGGAGGATGGAAACGAAGAAGACGAAATCAGGAGGAGGAGGAGAGAAGAAGACGAGAGGAGGAGGGGGAGAGAAAAGAAGAAACGAAATGCGGAGGAGGAGGAGGAGGAGAGAAGTTTAAGAAGAAGAGAGGAGGAGGAGGAGGAGGAAGAAGAGAGGAAAGAAGAAGGCGAAATGAGGAGGAGGAGGAGAAGCGAAGAAGAAGACGATGAGAGGAGGAGGAGGAGAAGTAGAGAAAAGAAGAAGAGGAAATGAGGAGGAAGAGGAGTGAAGAAGAAGACGAGAGGAGGAGGAGGAAGAGGAGGTTGTCTGCGCGCGAGGGGGAGGAGGAGGTCAGCACCTCGATGATGGGCAGATCGACGATGGGCAGCGCGATGGGAGCTCCGTGTGAGGAGGAGGAGGAGGTTGGCACCTCAACGATGGGAAGGTCGACAACAACATGGCAGCTCGACAGCGGGCAGCGCGATGGGAGCTCCGCACGAGGAGGAGGAGGTCGGCTACGCGCGGAGGGCACCTGGATGATGACAGGGCAGGGGCAGCTCGATGACGACGCGCCAGGGGCAGCTTGATGGCGACGGGCAGGTCGATGACGACGGTGGGGCTTTGAAAAGTCATACAATTTTTTTTTCAAGCACTAGGCAGATGGGGAGTCTGGCACTGGCCGAAAAAGGCCTCCCCCCCCCCTGCGCGCGTGAGATTGCGTTGGGCCCGTCCGGCGCCCAACCGGGGGACCCAACCGGCCAGGCCGCCCGGGAGCCCTGCCGGACGAAGGCCAGGCCATCCGGGCGGTCCGGATTTTAACACAGAAAACAAAAGGATTTTCAAAATTTTCACAGTTTCACCTGTTTCCTTCAGTTGGACCTCATTTCCAGGGGTGCAGTTCCACCAGCAAAGGAGATTCAACTTGGATTAAGGGTTTCGTTAGACAAACTGTAGAGTTCCTTGAGTTCCAAGGATGAGTCCTTGAGGGGGGGGAGGAAATGATTGTCAAGGATTTTCTGCTTCGTTCTTTCAAAAAAAAAAAAAAAAAAAAAATATTGGAACAGAGCAGGAAGGGATGAGTAAGGGTGTGGGCGAGCCGGGCAAAGGCACTGAAGAAGGGGTGAGAGGGGGGCAAGGGAGGGGGAAGCAAGGGTTGGAGGAACAGAAGAGCTCGATGGAACAGGGCATGAAAGAGGAGTGGCAGGAACGAGACCGCAGTAGGCAGGGGAAGTATATGAGGGGAGGGACGGAGGGGGAGGGAGACAAAGAGGGAGGGGGAGGGGGCGAAGAAGTGGGCAAAACGCAAGGAACGGAAAAGGCCGAGGACCTGGCGAGTTGCTTAAACAGGCAGAAGGCCGAGATGGAGAAAGAAGAGGGGGCGGGGGAAGTACAAGGGAGGCGTCATCAGGAGGAAAGGAGTGAAGCAGGGACTCGGAAGGGGGAGAGGGGCGATCAGAAAGAGGAAGTGCAAAGGGGAAGTGTGATGGAAGGGGGGGGACAAAGGCAGGAGCAGGAAAAGGGAAAGGAGGGAGAAGGAAAATATGAGGGAGAGGAAGGAGAGGAGGAACGGAGGATGGGGGAAACAGGTACGGGGCCGAGGAGGGAACAACAAGAGCGACAAGAGGTACAGGGGAGAGGGAGGAGGAGGGGGGGGACGAAGGCATGCAGGGAAGACAGGGAAGCTCAGTTGAATCAAGAACTCCCCAGGTACAGGGTAGGCCGGTCTATGAGATACCCATAATAGCAGAGGGAGATAAAAGAGAGGGGACACTGATCGGATATAAGCGCAGAACGAAGATGGTAACTGCTGGTCCCCCCAAAAGCTCGTTGTCCGCGGAGTGCTTCCCGGCCTCGACGTTTTTGTCAACAGAGGCGGGGTCAACGCGGAAGAGAGGTGTTCACCAACGGAAGACGAGCTTGCAGGAGCAACCGGCCTATACACGAGAAAGGGAGCGTTCCCCGATCGGGGGAAGGGGACTGAGACTACGGTATTGTTTGAGAGGGAAAGGGTGTAGGGATGTCTCGCCGCCCCCCTTGGCCTCAGCTCCGCCGAGGTACGCAAGTTACGACCTTCTGGTGGAGGGGATGGATGTGAATATATGTAGTCAGGATAGGGAGGTGATGTCGGGGGAAGCAGATACGGGGAGCCATGGGGAAGGGGAGACCTCGGGGGAGATTTCGGAAACCTCAGAGACGTCAGGGACTGAGAAGGTGGAGGGGGAGCAGTCAAACCGGGGGTTGGTAGAAGATTGTGGGGGAGAGGAGGAAGGTGAGGGAGGGAAGCAATTGGAGCAGGGTGAACATCGATCGGTGCCCGAGGAAGAAACTTCGCAGAGCGAGTCAACGCAAGCAAACAGGGTCAGAACAGAGACACATTGTGGGGAGGCAAGGGAGGAGGGGCAGCAGCAGGAGCCGCTGGCCCAGGTAGTAGAGCTAGCAAAGCAAGAGCGTGCAGGGACGGGCTTGAAGAGCATCTTGCAGGCAGAAGAGTGCTACCTGCGTCCTATTACCCTTTGGCGGACTGCTGGCAAGATTAAGATGCTGATGGAGGGGCCGACTAAGTACCGATCTTCACTGTAAGGAAGCTGCCACAAGAGCGACAAGTGCTGAAGCAGGTGATGCAGTGGGTGGGACAAAAGTTTGAAGTGCGGCCCCTGCACTGTATCTCTGCTTCTAGATTCATGCACCGTATGGACGAAGGGAAGGAATATGCAGTGATTGTGTACTTCGTCGAAGTCATATCCAAAAGAGCGGGCAACCCGAGACTGCAGGGAAGAGGGCTGCAGTGTATTCCATTCCAAGAAGCCTTTGGGCAAACATCAATTCCACAAAGACTACCATGTTGTGCACACGACCTCCTTGGCCATTCTTAACAGCGTCAATGTGTGCCTTCCGCAGGAGATCATGGTGGAAACGAGCAGTTCAGAAAGGGACAGGGATATGGGAAAAGGGGGAGTAACGTAGAAAGGGATATGTTATCGTGTAGGATGTCGCACGGAGAAGGACACCCTTGCCCAAGCGAAGGGAACTGGCGAAGCAGGTGGCAGCAGAGCAGATAGATGTTGTCTGTCTTCAGGAGACCAAGCTGAATGAGCTCAAGACGGAAGGACCGGCACGCTATGGTGGAACGGTCACCAGATATGGGCAACATCCAGATACATATGAAAATAGCACAATGTAGCGCATCGGAAGACTCAAAAATATGACCTGACCTATCAGAGACCGACGCGACATCCCATCATACACCACACATGTGAGAGAGGCAGGAGGGACCGCATACATGGAAGAAAGGTCCCTCCTTGCACACGCACATGGGGGAGATACCACGGATGAAGAGATGGGGGAGAGGCGAGACGAAGATGGAGGTTAGGGAGAAGACCAAGATCGCGATAGCGAAGTCCAAAAATAGTCTCCCTGCCGAATGCCCAATCAATGTCTTCTGTAAAAATGTCGAATCAGATCCTGGGCCTTATGCCCGATGTAACCTCTGCCTGTAACCTCTCTCTCTCTCTCTCCTTCTCTCTCTCTCTCTCTCTCTCTCTCTCTCTCTCTCTCTCTCTCTCTCTCTCTCTCTCTCTCTCTCTCTCTCTCTCTCTCTCTCTCTCTCTCTCTCTCTCTCTCTCTCTCTCTCTCTCTCTCTCTCTGTGAGAAGAAGAAGAAGAAGAAGAAGAAGAAGGAGAAGAAGAAGAAGAAGACGGAGGAAGGAGGAGAGATGGACGGCAGGAGGAGGAGGAGGAGAAGAAGAAGAAGAAGAAGAAGATGTCGTCCTCCTCGTTATCTTACCTGGAGGTAACTGCCGCCATGTACTAACTGTTGGCGCTTGTAACCTCTGTGCTGCAGGTGCGCTGGCGCGAAGACCAGCTATGGCGCCCAGGTAGGATCTCCGCCGATGCAGGTATGGCCTCACCCTCACTCCCTATCTACACCTCTACCTCTACCTCCAGCGTAGTGCTGTAGCGCTGCTCCAGCAGCGTGTCGCCCAAGAAGTGGGCTACTTGAACTGTGTGTCTGCCCAGGCATGGCGCAGCTATAAGTAGCGCTGGGCCTCGCGGGTGTGCCTCCGTGTGCCTCTGGAATTTGGCCAAAACGTGGCCTACTGGTTCTGGGTCCCGACTGGACGTCCAGACCCTCCCTGCTGATGCCGCAGGAACGTCCGCTACTGGACGCAAATGGACCTGGCCCAACAGGGCCTGCCTATGTCCGTACCAGGCCGAAAACGTGGCCTTTGTCCAAACAGACCGAAGGTCTGTTCGGACGAACTGCAAGTCCGAAACGACACCTGAACAGGCAAAAATAGGACAGCAAATAAATAAACAAATAAAAAAATGAATGAATGCTGCCTCAAACCGAAACCTGCGGCCCTAAGGCCGGTCGTGTGCCGGGCGTGCGGCCTGGGGGCCCCCAGCAACCATCGGGCCCCCAAAATGGGTCCCGTGTGCAGGCTCAGCATGTAACAGCTGCACAGACTCAAATCGAACACTGTACCCTCAAGAAAAGGCCTACACCTTCTGGGGGAACACCGTGACCAGGAAGAGTAGAATTGACATGATATGGGCTTCGGCAAATGAAATACTAGAGCGAGTGCAGATGAAGCCAATGGCCACATCGGACCACTAACCAGTATTGGCAAGCTTCCCGGTGGGTAGGCTAGAGATGGGCCACCCACCGAAAGCGATACCGGCATGGGTGTTCAAAAGCACAATGTTCCGACCTATGGTGGCCCAGTTTTGGGAAGACTGGCCGAATGAATGCCCATAGGACAATCTGTTGGACCATGTGGTGGCGGCAACTCAGGACCCGTGAAGGAACCTGGCAAAGCAGTTGCGGTGCAGTTACCTGGCACACCAAAGGAGAGGAGAGGATAATGCTAGCTGGCTAGAGGAGTTGAACAAAGGCCCTGACGGGGAGCAAATGGAAGATGAATGGTGGGTGGAGAGACTGGAGGCGGCCCGAAACCGGAGGGAATGGCAGAGGGAGGAAGGGGGAGGCGTACCAAGGAGTCATGGATCCTGGTGGAGAGCGCATGTCGCGTAGTTTCTTTCCCACAATAGGCAAGCGTAAGGTGTCACCTTGGATGACAGAAATGAACCACCCGCTCGAGCACACCACACGAGGGATCTTGAAGTATGTGACAGACTCTTACCGGCAACTATTAACAGAAGAATAGGATTGGACACTGGTGGAGATGGCCAGTGGGCTGGAGAACGAAGTTTGGAAGCATGTTCGGAATCGTCTAGACTTAGAAAGCACGTGCGGACTGGAGGACAATCTGGCCACTCGGCTGAAGCAAGTGCTGGTGCACATTATCGATTGCACCTAGACAGGCTTTGTAGCAGGGCACCAGATCCTATCCAACATGCTATTGGCGCAGCTGATCCTGGAAGAGGAAGAATGCACAGGGCAGGCCATGGCCTTTGTGTCCATAGACCTGGATAAGCCCTATGACCGGGTCTGCTGGGAATTCCTACTGCAGGGGATGGCGAGCTGGGGAAAAGGGGGGATCTTTTGCAGCTGGGTCAGGAGCCTGCTGAGGGGGGGCACAACTGTGATGCAGGTGAATGGAGTCCGATCAGACAAATTGAGGATTACCAGATTGGTTAGGAAGGGGTGCCCACTATCCCCAGCCTTATATGCCATTTGCATCGAGTCAATACATGACATACTAAGGGCGGACGACCGGCTGACCAGCCTGAAGGCAGGGCCAGGGATGGAATTGCACTCCACAGCATTCGCGGGGGACTCTGAAGCAGTGATCCCCCAATGACTCAACAACTTGGAATCCTCAAAGAAGACCTCGCTGTGTTGTGTAAGTACTCGTGAGCAAGGGTGAACTGGCTCAAATCCAAGGCCATCCACCGGAGGTTGAGCCGCAGGAGAGATGGGACATCGCGACACTGCTGGAGGGAGAAAGAATGGTTTTCCTGGCGGCTAACCTAACGCCGGCCTACGGAGGGGTCGAGCAGATGGCAGTTCGAGTCACGGCAGCGGTGGCATGGCTTAAGGCATGGATCGCTAGAGGGAGCATGGGAATCTTCGGTAAGGCTCTGGTGATCAAGAATTCAGTACTGGCAACGTTGTGGTACACAGGTGCTGTGCATATGCCAGGCAAACGGACCTTCCAATATATCAAGAGGGTAATCCGTGCGCACCTGTGGTCTAACAACACTGATGCCGAAGACTCCATCTGCAAGGTCGCGTGGAACAAATTGTCCCAGCCAAGACAGTTTGGAGGACTGGGGATCTTGGACCCGCGGATGCAAATCATTGCCCTGCAGCTACGACACCTGATATGGTATCTGCTTGGTACGGTGGGAGGAGTTTGGCAAGAAATAACTCGGACCCATTTTGCATACACGCTCCAGGTGCCTCGGGAGGTGGTAGATCTGTGCCTGATCAGCACTGCAGCAATAGGATATATTCACGGGGACACAGTGTGGACCACGGAAGTGGCATTGTGGAAAAAGACCCAGATGAGGTGCCGCCTGCCAAAAACGGCGGATGCAGCCTTCAACCACTTGCTGTTTAGCAACAGATTTATCTGCGACGCGACTGGGGAGCCGTTCCCATGGCAGAACCCGCGGGGCACCTACTGGTGGAAGTGGGCGGAACAGGGTATCTGCAAGGTGGGGCACTTATGGGATGAAGAGCGGAAGGACTGGCATCCCGATGGCGAAATGGAGGCAATGCTGCATAGGAGAATGAGGAGGAGGCAAAGGGTGGTGGAGCTGCGGGAGGCCATCTCCCCTGGGTGGATTGAGATGCTGAGAAAAGATGAAATAACAATTGGAGAATGGGTAAGGATCAGAGGAAGCACGAGACCGGAGAGGGTGTACAGGGTGGAACGGGTCTCGGCAGGAGGGGGGCTAGAGGTTACGGAGTGGCAGGTGACATCGGGATATGAAGGATTAGGTGAACCCCTCCGAGAGGGGGGTATGCAAGGGGGGTGCTCCTTAAAGAAGCTAGCAAGAAGCGCTGTGGAAACAGTGGCAGTATGTGGAAGAAGACACAAGGGAGAAGGACAATACCTGCCATTTCAGGAGGCGTGTAGAAAGCGGGATCTTGCATGGAATCCGGCGGAGTGGGAATGGCCAGCTCAGGGGGTGCAGATGAAAATGGTGCAGCTCCAAGATTTGGCCACAAAGAATATTTACAACTCGCTCCTGGAATCCGTAGAGATCTGCAGGGAATCGAGGGACCAATGGGCGAAGAGGGACTGGATCCCGGGTGTGTACTTCCACAGATGGATGCAGAGGAGATGGAACGGAAAGTGTACTATTCTGGATGCCCTGCCTGACCAGAAGCAGCCGGGCTTGCTATGGCAAATATACCATCTGGCCATCCCCACAGCGCAATGGATAGCAACAAAGAGCCGATATGGCAAATATACCATCTGGCCATCCCCACAACGCAATGGATAGCAACAAAGAGCCGACACAAGGACCAAGCAATGTGATGTCACACGGGTCCCTTTCGGACCCGACCACTAGGCTAAGGGGTACTTAGGCCGGCCCAGCCAAAGGCCGGACCCTTCTCCCGGTAGGCCGCATTGAGGCCACCGGTTGGTTCCCTGCAGCAGACCAGGTCTAGGCCCAAACGACATTACCGTTGGGCCTGGCGGCGCTCTTGAGGCTGCCACTCGCGGGTCTGATCTGAATCGTCAATCTTGACGATCCAGATCACGGCGTGCTGGGCAGCATTGAGGCCGACCGGCCGCCGGACTGTACTTAGGCCGGTCCAGTGGCCATTCCTGCAGGTTGGAGCAGCGGCATTGAGGAGCAACCGCGCTGCGCTATTTTGGGTTCAGCGCAGCACCGGGAACTGCAGCGCTAAGTTTAGCGCACTGCAGTAAGGAAGAGCGAGGAGGGGGACTTACCTGACCAGCAGCTACGAGCGCCATAGCTCCAGCAGGACAGCTGTCTCCTGCAGCCAGCCAAGGCGCCACCTTGTCCCATCAGGTAGGGCCTGGCGCTACTCGCCATCTCCGCCCATGCTCTGCCCCTCTCTTCTTCTGCTTCTTCTCCTTCAGACTTCTTCTTCCTCTCCCTCAGACTTCTTCTTCTTCTTCTTCTTCTTCTTCTTCTTCTTCTTCTTCTTCTTCTTCTTCTTCTCCTTCTTCTTCAGACTGGAGACTTGATACGAGTTGGGCAGAGATCAGTGATTGGACTTCGGTGGTAGGAGGCTGTGATACTTACCAGGTTCGAGACATTGGAGATAGTTGGGCTGGATAGCAGGCGGCGTCACAGATTGGACACCGGTTACATTAGGATTCTGTACCTTCAACATCGGTGACTTATATCCACGACATCCTGATTTTGTTCGGTGACATTTTGGACTACCATTTCGGTGACCTTCTGGATTCTATCTCCGTGACATCTGGCGCTGCCTATACCTCCCACCTCCATCGTCTCTCCTCCCACCATTCATCTGTGTATGATTGTACGGGGCCTGAAACATCGTCTATGTATGGTCTTCAGACCTTCTCCATCTCACGATTGCTTGTGTGTTGAGTGATGTTTGGGTGAGTTCAGCCTATGTGAGTCAGTCCATTTCTCAGACTTCTGCTGTATACATGCTCATCCTATATTGGTTGATCTTTGGTTCTGCCCATACTTGGTGAAGTGTTCACCAGTATGCAACAGTTTGGTATCGGAGCAGACCAATCAAGTGGATCTGCTCACAAGGTAATTCTGATTAGGGAATCAATCACTTAAGTAGCATTTTCTTTCCCAAATTAGTTCGGCATTACTATCGAAATGCAAGTTGCAAAATTCTGTTGTTGTTTTTTAATTCGGTATTCTGTTGTGATTCAGTATTCTGTTTTAATTCGGTATTGAATTAGGGTTGCGATAAAAGTTTCGGTTTTCCACGTTGGGGGGAAATTTCAAAATTCGCTTTTTTTTTGGAACCGTAAAACCAGAAATTCCGCGAAATCGCAGAAAATTAGGGTTGAAGTCCGAAATTTTCGCGAAATTTTTTCTTTTTCCCTAATTGTTGAATTTCCGAATGCGGACTTCGGCCTTCTGAAAATCGGACTCTGTTAGGTTGAAATTCCCAAAATTTCACGTTTTTTAAAAATTCGAGTGTTTTTCCTTTTGCTAACTATCCGAAATTATTTTTTCGTTTGGCAGACTGTTTGGAATCGTTTACCTCAGAACTGCAACTTCCGGAAAGTTCACTAACAACGGTGACTCCCGGACCATAGGTGATCTCAACGGACACCTAATAATTTCGTTATTGATATAATCAGATAATTATTAACATTTATTGATTGATGATTATTTATTATTCATTATTCCTTATTATTTTATTTATCATTTCGAATTAAATTGTTCTGGGGGGAAAGATCATTTTTTTTCTTCTTTTCTCTTTTGATTAGGAGTCCAGTCCACATTGGGACAGGGGACTGTATGTGGATTGCTTGATCTGTTCTACCCCTGTTCCCACCCTCCCTGCCCTCCCCGTACTCTGTGTGCACCGAGGTCTCCAAGTACCACATCAGCGGTGCTGATGTCGACGGAACAGAGCACCGGGGCACTGCCACGGCGCAGTGCCAGGCTCGCAGTTCGTAGCCACTCCGTGCTACCTCCACGGCCGAAGTATCAGCAACAACGACTCAGCAGGCGAGCAACTCCAGCGGCATCCAGTGCCAATACAGTACCGGTCACCGCAGGGATCCTTCCTGCCTGTCCGGTCCAAGGGGACCACGAGACTTTGGCAGCTTACCTTCAGCGGGTGCACGCATTCACGGATGCCGTAGCCACAGCAAAGGCACAGCAAGAGGCAGCAGAAGCAGAACGACAGCGGCTTGCCCAAGAAGCGGCAGCCCAAGCTCAGCGGACTGCTGAGGCTGACGCAATGGCTCGAGACAAGCGGAATGCCGCCAGCACTGAGGCGCTGATTCAGAATGAGAGTCAGTGGACAGCACTACTCCAAGGCATGATCTTTGTGCCTACGGGCGAGCAGGCGGATCCGACACCGACGGAGGCACCGGCGGAGGCAGAAAGGAGTAACCTGGCTAACTTAATGCTGAGTATGATGAGGGCGGTAATGTGGAACAACACGATGCAGATTGTGAACATGCACACGGGACGGAAGCTGAGGCAGACTCAGCAGAATGAGTCTTCAAACTTGACAGCCGCCATCTGCACAGCAACACAACATCAGCAACAACAGCAGCAGCTGTTGGCATCCACTATCACACGCGTCAACAGCATTGAGGCTAAGCCCTCAGCAGCGGCAGGCTGCACGACAGACATAGCGAAGCAGCTCAGCGAGCGCATCGACCATGTCATCACCATCATCGGCGACCTGGGTGACTTTACCAGTCCGGCATCGATCAGCAGCACAGTGGCCGCCATCAAGACGGACATCGCCAAACTGCAGGGACGACCAAAAGCCGCCTCGAAAACGCACAAGATGCCACGCTTCAACATCGGGAAGTTTGATTATTACAACAAGATAGACGCTTTGGCATGGTGGCATTCCTTCATCACCGAAGCAGCCTGCCACCACGTACCAGATCACCTGATGATGACAGCACTCTACCTCCAACTTATTGGAGTAGCACAGGCATTCATGAACCATCTGGCGACCAATCTAGGAACCACCATTGCCGACCTGCACAAGCACATCACGTGGGAGCAGCTCGAGCAAGCGTCGCACACTCGGTTCATGGTCCGGAATGTGGTTGAGGCGGCTATGAACGAGGTCTACCTCAGCTCGCAAGGGAACATGTCAACACGAGACTGGACAATTAAGTGGCAGAAGATAGTAACCACTCCAGGGTTCGACTTAAGTTTCCCAAACCTGCGATCCGAATTCTTTTCGTGATCGTGCGCAGGACTGCGGTCGGCACTCGGTAACGAGTACGACTATGCTTCATTTCAGGGCATTCTTGATCGTGCTAACCTGGTCATCCAAACGGATGACAAGGCCGCCAACAAAAGGCAGTCCCAGCCACAATATGTGGCTAAGCAAGGCTACCAACGGTCGGCGCATAACAATGTGGTGATCACTGACGGATCACCTGATCTCCACGCTGCAGCAGCCTCCTCGAGTGATGGAGGAATTGTCGCAGCGCTCCCGCCGAAACGTCCAAAAAGGGTTCGTAAGAGCAAGGTGACACAAGGGACGACAGCGACGGAGACTGGGCAGCAACCATGGACGGCATACAACATCACCAAGGAAGTTCGAAGTTCTCGAACTTCGACAACGGTATGGGTATTGTTTTTGGTACAACAGTGTAAACCACACTACGGCAGAGTGCCCGGACAAAGGCAAGGCAAAGGTACCCCGTCCAACTAACTCGGGAAACTGAGTTGCGCACGGAGAGGGGCGATGCCTCTCCACCCTCCGCCGGAACCGGTTGCCTTGCTAGCAACCGATGTCACTGTCGGGGAGCATGTGTTAGTCGCTGATTCTCGTGATACATACGAGGATTATGCCACCCAGCTGGTGCCACCATTGGACCAGCCTAGCCACGTGCACTTAGAAAGTGTATGCGTAGCTTGTACACCGTCGACAAGAGAACCGGTTAGTTCGCCACTTATGTCCGAGGACTCGACAGCGTGGTCAAGGCTTGAGGACCTCGACCCGCTCACAAGAGAGGACTTCTCTTGGATGCCTCTACCCTCGACAGGATCCTTTCCAAAGCCGCATTGTAACGCCTTGATGGAAAATCTACGCTCCTACTTGCACGCTGCAGTACCAACTCCGTTGACAGACAATGGAGTAGCGGTTGTTGACCTCCGCTCCTATATTGCGAAGATTGACGGCGAGTACGCCACCCAAAGGTACGTTGAGACCGACGCTCCTTTGCTCTATATCCGCATTTAAATCGGAAAGTCCACCTGCAGTGCCTTGATTGATTGCGGAGTGTCTCTCAACTTTATGAGCCAAACCTTCATGGCACACACAGGCCTCGGCCCCCGCGTTCGAAGGAAGACGCAACCTACACAAGTCACACTTGTGGACGGCCGCACGCAAAAGTCAATTGACCGATGCGTTGATGGCGTGCCGGTGTACTTTGCGCCCCTTGCGTGCGAGCCGGTGTCTTTTGACATCCTCGACACCAAGTTCGACATGATTCTAGGCATGTCTTGGTTGTGTAGCGCCGATCATCCGGTAAACTTTTATGACCGAACCGTTCACATCCGTGATCGGAACTGAGTGTTAGTCCCGCGTACGGTCGCGACTCCTCACACTTCGATTGCTTGGCACGTGGTTTCCGTCGCGAGGTTTCGCGACGCCATAGCTCGGAATGACGTAGAGGAGATGGGAGTTGTTTTCCTACATGCCCTCCCCTCGG